TGTGTGTGTGTGTGAGACGCCTGTATGAAATTTGATTACGTCATTTGTCACACCTTGTCACCTTGTCGCACCTTGTCCTCAGTGTTGGGTCACTACAGTCGGAACATGTCCATCTCTGCCTCCCCCCCCCCTCTTCAGGATCCATCCCAGAGTCTGTCTGCTTACAGTCTCCATCATAATCTGGTTGGAGATCCGTCGGAGCGGTCCGCACGGGTGGCTGTGTTTCCTTCTCCTCTTTGGATTCCCTTCTTCTTCAATCTACCAAGGGTGTCGGAACTGCTATCTGCCTTATTCTTTCCCAAATTTTCCCTTACAGCAGTTAGGACGGTTGGTGGATCCAGTGTCAAATCCCCCCCCCCCTTTTGCTTCTCAAGCCAGCTTGTCTGCTCTCTCGTTGCCAGTTACCCCTGCGTGGCCCGGGCAGAAGATCAGGCCACTCTTTCCAGGCTGCTCTCCCTGATCGTAGCCTTCCAGTCCACATACAGCATCCCTTTCTGTACCTTCTGTAGTGTGCTCATAGAGTCAGTAATGATTACTGCTCGCTCATGGCTTGTGTTCTTGATCTAGTGTAGAGCGTCACTTATGGCTTTTATCTCCATACACATATTGGATGTTGTCAGTGCAGTTGCTCCACTTTGCTCTTTCACAACTACGCCATCAACTCTGAAGGCCCAGCCCGATTTGACTCCTCTGTTGACTGATCCATCCGTGAAGATCACAGCATCTCCATGTTCGCTATGCTCTTCTATTAGGGTTTCAATTTCAGCGTTTGTAGCTCCAAGTGGCCACTCGCAACATTCTCCACTCAATTACGTCATTTCTCCCTCCCAAACCGCCTATAGCTTGTTCACTTTCGTCTTTTAAAAATGATGACTAAACGTCTTAATTTATCTCTGAGATTGTACACTATCAGCAAGGGCCTACAATTATATCACAAAAAGTAGTCAGTTGGAACTAATACTTTGCGAGTGGTCGCAAAATGGGGGAGTTGGAAACGGGGTGATGAGGGGTCGAGAATAAGGTTTATGTGGAAGGTTTGTTTGTTCAGGGTATGAGGTATATGAGACGACAAATCCTACCTATAGTCCAACGAAAAAGCCAAAGACGATCTCAGGGTAGGCAGAGAAGGGGTTAAGTACTTTCTATTGAAATACTAGTTCACTCACGGAGCGGTCGGGCATTGAGGTGGGAGGGGGGGGGGTGGTGGCTTGGTAAATGGGGAAATCGAGGGATCTGGGGGAGTGAGAGGTCGGGAATTGAGAAATTTTTTCAGGGATACTCGGTATACGAGACGATACATTTTATCCATAGTCCGAGACAGTCTTGGGACGGGCAGCGAAAGAGTTTAAGTATAATTTGATTGCCATGGGCTGTTTGTCGTTAACAGTTACTTTATTCCCTCCTCAAAAATTGATACCGGATGAATAATTGTTCAACCTCTTTTGAGACGTTGCCAGTTTTACCTCCTTTCTCTTTTCTTCTCCCATCTATCTCTATCTTCTAATGTCTTTAATCTTGTTAGCCCTCTCCTTTCAATACCTTCTCTCACACTCTGTCTTTCTTTCTTTTACTTTCCTCCTCCTCTCTCTCTCGTACTCTCTTTTCCAGGTTCTCTTTCGCTCTCCCTCCTGCCCCCTCTGCCTTCTCTCACACTCTCTTCTTCTTCTTCCCTTTCCTTCTCCCTCACTCTCTTACTTTCTCTTGACTTTTTTTGCACTCTCTCTTATTTTCCTCCCCCCTCCCCTTCTCTCTCTCACTCACTCTCCCCTCCCTCTCTCTCTTGCTCTCTCTCTCCCTCTCTCTCTCCCTCTCTTTCTCTCTCTCTCTCTCTCTCTCTTTCTCCCTCTCTCTCTCTCTTATTTTTCTCCCCCCTCCCCTTCTCTCTCTCACTCACTCTCCCCCTCTCTCTCGATCTCTCTCTCCCTCTCTCTCTCCCTCTCTCTCTCTCTCTCTTTCTCCCTCTCTCTCTTATTTTCTCTCCCCCCTCCCCTTCTCTCTCTCACTCATTCTCACCCCCCTCTCTCTCTCTCTCTGCACCCCCCTCTCTCTCTTTCTAAGTCTGTCTGTCTGTCTGCCTGTCTGTCTGTCTGTCTGTCTGTCTGTCTGTCTGCCTGTCTGTCTGTCTTTATCTCCACCCCTCCTATTCTCTCTCTCTCTCTCTCTCTCTCTCTCTCTCTCTCTCTCTCTCTCTCTCTCTCTCTCTTTTCCGTCTGAAGGAGAGCAACATATATTTTCCCCTACTAATCCGATCTACGCTAAGACCTTGATTAGGATTTTGCAACGCATTAGCTTCACCGGGGTTGCCAGCGGTTTCTGGAAGAAACATTGCTACCGTGAAAACATAAGCTGGACAACGGTCACCTTTGGTGTCATTACCTTGCTGGTCATTTCATTAAGCAACAAGGCACAGTCTGGAAATTGGTAGAAGGGAATCTGATCTGCCACAATGGCTGAAATTGACCTTGTCAACCGCGACCCAAACAACATTAACGACCATCTCAAGGTAAATTCATACAAACGTGTATAAAAAATATGGACTACTAACTCACTGCATTTGTCTCATTCCCAGTATTGTTTTTATATTGGATGAAACCAGTCATCGAAACAAATCCGCAACGAATCATATCTATCTATCTATCTATCTATCTATCTATCTATCTATCTATCTATCTATCTATCCATCCATCCATCCATCCATCCATCTATCCATCCATCCATCCATCCATCCGTCTGTCCGTCAGACTGTCTGTCTGTCTGTCTGTCTGTCTGTCTGTCTGTCTGTCTGTTTGTCTGTCTGTCTAAAACAACAACGGTAGTATCGTTTCAACTGTTGTTGTTCAACAATTTCTTTAGAGCAACTTCCTCTCCTGTGGAGTAGAGAGTTCATGAAGAGGGTAATTATAACGGTATTTAGAAGCAAACTAATTTCGGCAGGCCTGGTCTTCTATCCTGTCTACACATCCTGGCAATTGGAGCAGTCATTGCATGGTATATAACATATTTTAAACAAGATTGTGAAAAATTGGCAGATTAATCTTAATTGAAATATAAGCACAAATTTCTTTTGGTATGTTAATGAAATGTCAGCAAACTTAATATTTGTACCTAGTTACGTATGCAATCATTTATTGGTGTTCCTTTAAAAAATATGTTTCACTGTTACGTCTTTGCTTTTAAAAGCACTGACGTCATTATTTAATAGCTTTTGAAACAATATTCGATTTGAGCATCATCGCAATATGTATACCGTATTTTTAAATAAAAGTCTACTTTGAAACATAGTAACTGCACTTAAAGAGTTTATAATTTTTTGTCTTTGGTTTATGAAAGTTTCACACCGAGGTGGCTGGCGTGTGCGAGCTGTGCCAATTTCTCTAACTGAAGTGAGGCCAAGCCCTTGGTGAAATTGTTAATTTTTATGTCATGTTAGACTTTTCAAGAAACTTATGTCTTTTTTCCGTTGATTTATAGGTCACCTTCGAAGATGTGTTGGCTGAACCCGAGGGCAACCATGCCATGGACTGTGTGTGGAGCAACTCTTACAAATGCTTCAACTGCTGCAAGAAACTGTGCTACACCCTGATGACCCTGTGCTGTGGCATCTGCATCGCCGCTGGCTGGGGCTGTGAGTTCGCCTACATCGCCTTTGTCCACATCTGGTACGTCACGCCATGCTTCAAGTGCTTGGAGCTCAACTGCGGATGTCTGCAGAAGCTGTGGGGAATGATTGTCCATTGCTACTACGATCCATTCTTTGAGACCATGGGCCTTTGTTTCTCTGCCTTCAAGAAAAGCTAATCTAGTAAGGCAGTGATCAAGAGTCTCGTGACAGTAATGCTGTGTTTATGAGGCTTGACTCAATGGTGGAAAGGGTTCAAGGTTGCAGTTTTTAAACCTTCTGTAACGCGAAAGTCACGGAATAAAAAAGTCAATTTGTCACATCAAGACATGACTTAACATGACAACCTCTTTAAAAAAACAAACTAACAAAACCATGTATAAACTACAGTGACTTGAAACATAAAAAAACGTTTCAGAAAATTGTTTTAAAGCGGAACTTTCGCCATATTTATCCCCAATTTACCTATTTCGAAACTGCCTTTTGCATATATCGCAACATTTCTAGATGCCCTGAAAATGTCTTGATAATCTACATCTTGTACATTAAAACAACTGTGATATGATCGCAAGTCTGTGTACCAGTATATAGATTATGTGTGTGTACATACCTGTTGTTATAGGTATATAAATGGAATTCCAAAAGTACTACTTTGTTGTTTTCTTTTATATGGCATACAATTGAACCATTTTACTCATGGGGCCTTGACAGGCCACATTCTATTTTTATTGTAAACTTTACACCTCTACGAAACTCTTTTTATGTTTTATATTCGAAAGTCGTTTCGTTATGATTAGAGGACTTGCCTTTTACTCGATTGTGAAGGCATTAGGCTCCTGTGCAACGGATCCAAGCTTGAACCCATGACTAGACACGGGGTGCGGGTTTTGAGATTTTGTTTTGTCATTCCATTACTTATCCACCGCGAGCTGTTCACATACACTATGCCCTAAAAGCAAGTGCTTTAAGAGAGAGTAAAATCTGGGGGTTTTTTGTTGGTTTTTTTTTTTTTACAATTGGTCCTATTTCATGTACCTTTAAAATTCAGAATTCGAATTTCGACATAATATGTTTTGTCCACATGCAACCTATACTCCAGATCAAGAAACTGCAATATTTTACAAATATTAAAATGTTGGGCTTAATACATTTCAACAGCTGGCCAATATTATGTTTCTGGCGGCGATAGAGGGTCAGTATAATGGAAGCCCGTCTTAAGAATGGAGTATATAAAAAGTTTGACTGGAATATGTAACTTGAAAAGTATATTATTTAAAAATGAACAGAAGCTACTTCCAATTCATTTCTCCCTCGTTTGAGAGGTGTTGAGATTGAAACAGAAGAATGGTGGGGCACATAGAGGTGAAAGTTCACACTAAGGCCTGCAGACTCTTTTCTCATAATTGCTCTTCCTTTTTTCAAACTTCATTCATCTCTTCAAGCTGTTCTGTAATTTTATATCATGCTATCATTTCTCTGTTTCATTCCAACTTGCTTGCTTTGTTTTCATATTCATTTTCGTAGTCTTTCACTTTATTCCTAGCAGTTCCTGTGGTTTAAGCTTTTGAAAGCGACGTTCCCACGAAAAAAGGTAAATGCAAATATGATAATTTTAGGGAGGAAAAAGCTTAACATCACACGGAAGAGACAAATACATGTTTTAGTGACATGGTTCTACCAGATGTTTCCTTGGGCCATTTGCAGATATCCAGATAAAAAGAACAAAATATGACAGATGGTTCAAAGCCTCTTGTGCTTTCAATGCTTCGAGTATCCGTGAGTCTTGGATCATCTTATTTTTTTCATGTTAGTGTTTTTTACACACCCATTGACACAATTTAGATCATCCAGGAGGCTGACTAAGAGAGATGCAATGTCCTCACAGAAAGAAGACAAAATTTCTTCCACCACAGGAATCAAAGTCAGGTCTTATGCTGCGATACCACAGAAGCTGTGGTAACCATTTACTTGTCGGTACCATCATGACTAATGGTAGCCCCTGGTGCATCCCTCGTCACACTCCGTTCCTCTCTGACAATCGTACACTTCGTTTTTCGTGTACAATTCTAATTAACAGCAGTTGCATTTATAGAGTGCATATCTGCGACCTACTGCATGCATTCTAATTATTATAACCACAGTAGAACCTAGAACACTCTTTTGAGACATTCTCGACTTTCCGGGAAGCACACAGAGCAAGCAGTCCTCAAACACTAACAAACTGACAAGATCTTTCGTCTTCTATGACCTATTACCTACTCATACTTAGGTGAAGTGAGGAGAATTAGTGTAAAGTGCCTTTTCCAAGGACAAAAGATCGCGCTCTTAAAAATGATTTGAACCTGTGACCATCTGGTTGGGAGTCCAACAGCTTATCCACTAGACCAGTGACGCCAATTACTGAATTACTTAGATATTAATATACACACATATACCACATTTGCAGCAAGCTACACCAAAATAGCCAGTTTGTAAATCAGTCTTTCAGGCACTAGAAATTTCGAAACTACTGACTAGAGTGTGAAGATAATCTTCCACATTTTTAGTATTGAGACCGGATGCACTGTCAAATATAATTACGAGGGTCGTTCAAAAAGTTTTGCCTCCTCTTCAATAACTTCTAAACTATCCAAGATATCTTCATGAAATTTGTACACAATTGACACCAGGAGAGAGTGGATGAGATCATCCAAGCAAACCGGTGGATCAAAGTAAGAGATGTCAGTAAAATGCCAGGGATTTCTGAAGGGAGTGATCTGTGTATTATCCATGATGTGTTGGGTTACAGGAACGTGTGTGCACGGTGGGTTCCCCACATGTTGTCACCCGAGCGGGAATTGAACCGAAGTCAAGTTAGTGATGAACTCCTGGCTCGTTATACCGATGAAGGTGAAGCTTTCTTACGTCGTATAGTTACAGGAGACGAGACTTGGGTACACCATTATGACCCAAAGAACAAAAGACAATCGAAAGAATACAGGCACACTGGCTCACTTAGCCCTAAGAAGTTGTTTCATCTGCAAAGAAAGTGCTTATGACTGTGTTTGGGACTGCGGTGGTCTGGTTAATATGGAATTTTTGGAACAGGGCTCCACTTTCAACTCTGAACGATATATTGAGACCCTGAGAAAAATTAGAGCACGTCTGCCACGAGTTCGGCCCGGAAAAAATGCAATTTTGCACCACGACAATGCCCGTCCACACACGAGTCGACAAACTCAAGATGCCATGAAAAGTCTCAGATTTCAAGAGACCTCACCTCACCCATCATACAGTCCAGACCTTGCTCCATCTGACTTTTATCTTTTTCCTAAGTTGAAGGAGCACCTCAAAGGAAAACGTTATGCGATGACGATGAAGTTCAAGAAGATGCGCGTCGCTGGTTCAGAGAAAAACCACATGAATTTTTCGACGACGGCATGCGACAACTTATTCGACGTTGGCGAATCTGCATCGACACAGAAGGCGACTATGTTGAAAAGTAAAGGTACTTTCATGTAGCAGACATCCTAAGCGTTCATTTTGGTGTATACCTTTTGTATGTAGCATCAGTTATAAAGAAATTATGAACTTGGAGGCAAAAGCTTTTTGAACGACCCGTGTAGTTGACATCACTTAATATTTTCCCCTAACATGTCTCCCAGTAGCTCTGTCTGCAGCTTGAATTTAACGAAACCCCGTTGATGGCTTAAAGTACAGCCTGTGCCTAAAACAACGAAATTACTTTTTCAACAGAATATGGCTATTGATATGTGGGTGTTAGAGGGTCAGAAGAAAACGAGCTGTGGATATACCCCACTGGCATCTGGTGTACTGTTCGTCACTTCTCCGTTGCACACAGAAGACCACAGTTCCCCAGGATTTTTATCCAGTATGTCCATCTTTCTGAGCGGACCAGTCCGACGGATCTCCAACCAGATTATGAAGGAGACTGAAAGCAGACAGACTCTAGGATGGATCCTGAAGAGGTTGGGGGGGGGGGGGTGAGAGCAGAG